AGACCACCTGTGCAGCAGCTGAGAGACCACCTGTGCAGCAGCTGAGACCACCTGTGCAGCAGCTGAGACTGCCTGACACTTGGGCTTCAGTTCCAAAGAATCAGCTCCAGGAATGCACTCTCCCCAAAAGAAGAGAATTAACCATGGGTGGTTAATTAGCCATGGTACTGTTATGGTTTGTGCTATTCAGTGAACACACACACACACACACACACACACACACACACAATTTGATTGCCCATTTGAATGTGGTGGAGACACGTGGGAGGCTTCTGTGAGCCGTTCCCGGGCACCGAGGGAGACAAGCGCTTCTTGGCCTGAACATGAGGCCCCGAGCGGGCTGCAGTGGAATTCGGAGTTCCGTTAGCTTCTTTTGTTTAGCCGTGGCAGGAACACACTCTGCAGGACTGTAACAAAGATGGATAGGAACAAACCAATTCTGCACGCCCATATTTACTTTTCCAGCCATTTCCCGGGACACACCACAAACAGAACAAAGCCCAGAGCCTAGGAATGGTGGCGCCCGGGTGTCACACGGGAGGCTAGACTGTCACAGGAGGCCAGGGCGTGTTCTTGCTCCTCTTTAACTTTGTTTTTGCCCAGCTTCCAAAGACAAGAGTGCATATGTCCACGTGGGTGTCTGAATGGATGTGAAAATTTAAGCGTAGTGAAATCCCACAATGGGAAGCGCGAACCTGGACTCTTCACTGTGAGCCGGCACACTGGCCACGACCTCCTGGCATTCCAGATATGGAGGCTGAGGGCTCTCTGCGTTCCAGCCCAGTGCAAAGAGCCAAAGCCCCCAGCAGAAACCGTGGTGCTCACACCTTTAATCCCAGCACTCAGGAGGTGGGTGGGCCTCTGAGTTTGAGGCCAGCCTGGGCAACAGAGCGAGTCCCTTTCTCAAACAGAGCGGCACTGTGGTAGCTGATGAGCACAGGCTCGCTCACTTCAGGGGCTGATGGAATCTCCTGGAAGTGGTGGTGATGACTGTGCGGCCTCAGAGATCGATCACTGAATCACACCTTGTCCGGGCTGGAGTGATGGTTCAGCGGTTAAAATGCACACTGCCCTTGCCAAAGACCTGCGTTCGCTTTGCAGCACTCACACTGGGCAGCACATACAGACACTCACCCTTGCACACTCATATACACACTCCCCACCCACTCTCACCTAAACTCACGTACTCACATACACACTCATTCACACACACATGGACAGAGAGAATTTTGAAATAAAGTAAATCCGAACTGTTTGCTGATGTGGGAGGCAGACTTCAGCTTTCCAGAAGCCCATGGTCTGCAGCTGCTCACTGGGTCTTGCAGGGCCTAAGGATCTTCCTTTTACACAAGCCTCCTGGGAGACACGAGGTCACCCTTCCATCCTGGCAGGTGGAGCACCTAAATGCAGGTTCTGGGGTGGGGGTGGGGGGATCTCTGCAGTTTCTACAAAATCCTAGTGATGCTGGAAGGCCTGGTGGGTGTTCCACCACACTGGGGGGCTGGAAGGCTGGGGTACTGAGGGCTGGGGGGGGGCAGAGGGCTGGGGGCTGGGAGACTGAAGACTGGGAGAACTGAGGACTAGGGGGACAGGGGGCTGGGAGGACTGAGGACTGGGGGCACAGGGGACTGGGGGGCTGGGCTTCCAAACACCACAACCTCAGCCCCTGCCACTAGGTGGTGCTGTTGGGGGGGGCAGCAGCAGCCCCAGAGCCTAGGGTAGGGCCTCTCAGCAGTGATCGCTTCCCTGGGGTGGCTGCCCCGCGGGAGGCAGGCAGCCAGCTCAGGGCCCTCGAGACTGGTCTTACCAGACAGGGCCAGCAAGCCACAGCCCCAAAGCCACCCTCAGGGCACCTCTGGCTGGGCTGAGGACCCCAGTGTCCCCACTGTCTTCCTCAAGCACATGCTTCCCGCCTGCACCTGCCCTGGCTGCATCCCTGGAGACTCTGCCAAACAGTGCTGGGTTGGTTGGGTACCTGGGGAAGCAGCCTTGAGTGAGCGCGGAGGATGCTTCCAGGCTGGCCACACCCCCACAGCAGGCTAGAGACCAGCTTGAGCACTAAGGAAACCGGTTCCCTCCCCCGTCAGCTCTGTTCCTCCGACAGAGCTATGACCACGCTCTAGGGGGGAAAGGCCTGTTCAGAGTTGGGGTGGAGGTGGCTGGGAAGGGCTTGGGCAGCTCTGTCCGGTCAGTTCACTCCACCCACAGCCGGTCCCAAGCATCTTTTTGGAGCACAGATTAACAACGGTGCAGCGAGTTTGGGCCTCGGGGTCGGCTACGGGTTAGGGTGCTTGCTGCCAAGCCTGATGAGCGAGTTTGATGCCCCCACGTGGTGGAGGCAGAAGACTGATGTCTGCCCCCTGCCCTACACACACACACACACACACACACACACACACACACACACACACCACAATGTGTATATGCTTCCCCCGACAACACAAGTAAATAAATGATGGATGTAATAGTCATATAACATTATAAACAACAACAGCAAGCCAAACCCAACCAACCGAAGAACAACGGCCCTGCCTCCAGCCGTGCCCTCATCCATGGAAAGGGCTCCCTGGGTCCTCACAATAGAATGTGGATGCCTCTGCCTTGGTGGACAGCACAGCCCCTTTCCGAGACTCCATATTCAGGACCCCTGAAATCAAGAGGCAACCAGGCCAGTGAGCTGGCTCAGTGACAAAGGCCCTTGCCTCCAGCCGAGCCTGACCACCCGTCTTTGGAACCCGCCAACATGGTGGAAGGAGACACCTGAATCCTGCAGTCTGTCCCCTGACCTCCACATTCCCCACACATGCAAACACAACAAGCACATGACTGTATCCTAAGAGTGAAATCCAGAGGAGGGTGGTAACCACCCCCTCAGGTGCTGCTGGGGCTCGACCCCGACACCGATTTGGCCCACTGCTTAATCCCGACAGCTCTTAGCAGGCGAGAAGCATTTTTTTTTTAGGCTGCGGTTTATGTAATTGGACGCTAACCAGAGTTCTTTGAGAAGCTCTCAAACTGCAAACATTTGTCAACACCTAGCTCAGAAGCAAGTGCCGCCTCCTTCGAAAGATGCCCACGTGAGGGAAAACTAGACGCCTTTTTTGCCAAGAAATGGCTTTTCCTTGGCTGAGTCCCTGCAAGGGGCTACAGGAGGTGGGGGCTCAGGGGTGGTGGTGAGTGGGGACACTTGGAGCCATCAGGGACAGGGGAATTCTGGGGACGTCATTCCTTCCGCAGTCCCGCTGCCTGGCTGCAGGGCTCTCTTCCCTCTTGAAGAAGCAGAGGGGATGTGAGGGCTTCCCCAGCTTCCCAACACCCCAAGCCCCCTTAGGGATCTTGTTCAAATGCAGGTGCTGTGTCTAGGGTAGAGGTCAGGGCTCTGCTTTTCTGGTGGGCTGCTGGAGGTCAGCATGTCGCTTGCCCCAGGAGCAGCGAGGGGACTCAGCACAGCCTCACCGCGGTCAGTACCCGTATACCCCGGACCGATGCAGACGGCAGCGATGGACAGCAAAGGATATGAATGCACCAGAATCTTCACAGCCGCTCTGCGCACGGGGTGGAAGGGGCTGAGGACGTACAGGGCATTGGTGGCACTGAACCGGAAGATGGTCTTACCCTTGTTCAGCACGATGAAGGTCTGTGGACAGAGGGAGATGCTAAGTCTGGAGACAGCTGCCGTCTCAGAGCCCTCGGGCCCAATAAAGGGGGAGGGAAAAAGCAGGCTAAGGGTCATCCAAGGCTTCCCTGGACCCTCTCTGCCCAAGGTCAGGCAAAAGTCAGCCTCCTACTCGCACTCAGCCTAGTGTCTCCCTCTCATATGCAGCGTTCTGAGCAGTCCAGGATGGCCAGGGTTTCAGGCACTCCCTTGGTTTCTAGAACATATCTGCCTATCTGCTACAACGGGGTGGGGAGCCGTGGGGGCTGCAGAGTGGAAGCTGGAGCCAACGGCAGCCAGCAGGCCAGCAGCACGGCAGGCGGGGCTCGAGATGGCTTGTCTTCACGGGCTGAGCGGTGAGCAAAGTTCTGTTTAATCTCAGCTGGTGGGACACAGTGAGCAGGTAGGCCAGGACGAGAAGTGCCATGGGGTGACAGCCTGCGAGACGGCAGGCGGTGTAGCCAGGGTCAGCAGGGGGGACAGGGTGGACTCCAGGGCACTCAGCAAACCTCGCAGCAAGCATTCCCAGGTGTGTGTGTGTGTGTGTGTGTGTGTGTGTGTGTGTGTGTAAAACGGTGTCCCTGGCTCCACCCACACAGTCTGTGTCCTACTCCTACTGGGTGCCGTGTAACTCCAACCTAATCCTTTCTGTTCCTCTCACATAGCCTAAACTGACCCTCAGCCATGTCCCTAACCTTAGTCCCAAATCTTCTGTCAGCTCTGGCTAATCACTACCCAAGCCTACCCACTCACTCACTCACTCACTCACTCACTCACACCCAATTGCACTTTTGGCTGTGACTCTCATACCCCTACCAGACTTTGACCCTACTCCAGTCACTTGAACCAGGGAGAAGTTCTGGGAGCCTCAGAGTAGGGGCAGGTCAGCTCTCCTGACCGTCTGTATAGACCGAGCGTGTGTGTGTGTGTGTGTGTGTGTGTGTGTTCACATCCACACCTGATCTCTCGCTCTCACACACACACTCAGGCTCTCAGTGTCCTAGCCACTGTGACAGACACACTGACACGTTACACAGGCTCGCACTGACTGTGCTTTTCTTTTGGGCCCCACACGTGTTGCTCTGCCCTCAGCTTGGAGGTGACCATGGTAACGCTGACGGCCACCCTGGTCTCTGGTGCCCAGCCTTCATGGAGAGGCCTCCTTCCAGATTATAGCCTGTCCTCCCGCCACTGACCCCACAATTGGGCCCAGAAGTGTGGACAGTCATGTGGGCGACCTACCCCTCTGTAGATGCCCTGTGTGGCAGAACAAGCCTTCCCCACAATGCCATGCCTCAGAGGCTTCTTCACACACACACACACACACACACACACACACACACACACACACACAC